CTGGTAATACCTGGGTCCGGGGGTGCCAGTTTATAACAGTAAGGTCTGGTTACTCACGCTCTGTCTTGCTCTCTTGGTCCGCTCACCTGACTCAAACTCTGTCTCTACTCTTCTTTGCAAGTACACAGCTGGTTGTTTTGGTTTCTTTTGTGCACCTTACAACACTGATGGTCCTGATACCCACACTGCATACATTGTTTATGTTCAGTTATGAAGTTATTTTTATTAAAATGGCAATTGTTTAATTATTTAAATGATGTGTCTCTACTGAATATTGGTCAAGATTCAAGTGCCAGTTGTGACAAGCCAGCTTGCTGTCATCCCCAGGTTGTGAAAACTGCCACTTTGTCAGTCTAATATAAGGAGCTGGAAAGTCCCTATAGGGTAGGTGAGAGGGGAGGTTGATTGGTCCAACAAACCCCAGACTTTCACCTGGGAGCCCACTGTGCACTTCCTGTGTGAATGTTGAGCCAAACCATGATTCTGAACCCAATCACTTGCCTTTGTTCCCTAAACCTAACTAGGTAATGTTATTCCCTAAATCTAATCATGTGCCTTTTTCCCTAAACCTAACCACATTTTGAAAAAGACTGTATTTGTTGAACAAGCAGGAACTGTACATTTCCTGTGAAAACACACGTGTATTTTGAAAGACGCAATGCATGTAACAAGCATAACTTGACATGGCAAGACATCCCTACTCTTTGGAAGAAAATGTGTTGGACAAACTGGTAGATAAGGCTCTATAGATATATAGCTCTATAGATAGATAGATAGATAGATAGATAGATAGAGTAAGAAGAATAGAATAGTAGAAGAGTAGTAGAAGAGGGTACCTTGGCTGCCTGAAACTCTCAGTCAGTAGTTTGCAGGGAATATTTCAGCCCCAAGCTAAAAATCTCACACATTTAACATGGAGGCGGCACAGCACGCAGGAACATTGGTCTGAAATGTTTTTACATAAAACAAATAAAGCAGCATCCCACTACAAGTCACATAACATACCTCGACCAGGGAATAAGCAGAGACACCACAGCAGTAGCGGGAGAGGAAGATCAGAACATCCCTGAGGTATTTATTTCCCGTCTTGATGCACCGGTGAATTAAATGGCACATGTGAGGCATTGAAGTGGGTGTGTAAATTAAACTTGCCGCTTACATAAAATAACTTTGTCAAAAGTAATCGCAGACACATTGTGTAGTGTGATGGAATACTGACATGCAAATAGTTTTTAATACTGTACAGAAATGAAGAAAAACCAGGGTATGCCAGGATTAAAATACGTGTGTAGGCCTATGTAATACTTAGGTAGGCAAGTGCAGTCTTCAAGAAATCATGGTGTGTGTACAACTAGTGCCAATGTGACTGTCCTCACTAGGAAAAAAAATAGCATTAGACATTTATTTAAAAGGCCTTCACCAACCTAAATTACTGCAGTTAAACAACTGCAAACCCTCACACAGAGGTATGTGATGGACAGGTCAACAAGGTGTGTGGTTTTGACAGTAGAGGCCACAGTTCATTTCCTGTTTTGAAGTTTTGCCAGTTAATACAGGTTTCTTTTAACCATGACCATGAGCGTTTCTTTATTCAACCTAAATTTTTTTCCCTTAACCCTAACCATGTAGTTTTTGTGTCCGAACCTTGACTGTAGCATAGCCAGATGAGTGGGTAATTTGTAACAGTTTTGGAAGGCAATGATATTGAACATTATTTCACTGACGCACCAGGTCAAACAAGACCAAGGGCACTGTCAAAACAATTTATAGCACATGATCTAAAGTGCATGGCGCAAGTGCATTAAGGGCGTTTCCAACTCTGCTACTGCTAGTTAAACAGCACATCATTTGGGCACAGTGTAAGGCGCAGGGGATAACGGGGTTGTATGTGAGTGTCATCTCCCTTTCCCTTCAAAAGCCAGGTGTACCTGCACCTAGTGTACTGCTATTCACATAGCTGATTCAGCAAATTAGAGAAGCGGGCTGTTTTCTGCTGAGAGTAATGCAGTTAGAGCAGTAATGTCACTGCAGCAAATATAGTGGGACATTTAAGCTGAAAAACAAAAAAACTGTAGTTGTAAACTTGACAGAGGAAACAGAGCTAAACTTTTAGCTCCTGAAATAATCAATGACATTATGCTGCTTCTCATGTGTAACTACATGAGTCTTTCTTAACTGGAATTTGGACAGCAGCTCTGCTCTGCTCTCTGCTACATTTACATTTTAATATAATTAATACTTTTAACATTAATGATGTATTATTTCACCCATCCGCAACCGATCCGCTTGTCCGTGTGTGTAACAAGCAGAGTCTATGTGCATTTTGACGTCTGTCTAAATAATGCACCCTTTAAATAGTCGGAAACTACCCCACCATTCGGACTTTAGACTGGGTTTTTGTTGGTCAGTGGTGCAATTACTTTCTGTTGCCTCAAAGTAGCACTACACCAACAATGCACCAAACGACACCTCATTTTAAGACCTACAATCCTGTGGGCACACAGATGGGCTCAAGTGCATTTGCTATTTACACAATATGGGTGGGGCTGTGAAAATGACAACTGCGTTGGTCTGAAACTAGCAATGACAGCACTGGGTGTAAGATGGGACCCTAAGAGTCTGCAGCCATGCCAACAGCTCTATAAGACTTTGAATCATCGTGTAACCTAATGCTAATTTCAGCATGTCAACTTGCTTACAGTGACAATATTAACATGTTGCAGGGAATCAACAAAGTAAGATGCACGTAGTATGGGAACCATGACTGTCTATGCCAGCATTTGTGCCAACCAATCTTTTTGCAGATATGTGAACATATGACCAAAATGGACCCAACTGAAATTTGAGGTAACAAAGTTTGGAGGATTTGTTGACAAATTCTGTTGATGTTTTGAGGTCACTCAAAATATATTATCTTTTTAGGCTGTTCTGACAAATTTTTCGTATGTTTTCCTACTAAAAGCAATACGCCCAAATTTGTACACATCCCACATGTTTTAAAAGGGTGTGATCATGTGACCATCACCCTGATGGCAGTAAAGAAGGAAGCAGTCCCAGGTGCTTAAGGAGGAAGTTTGGGGTGGTGGGTCACAAAAAAAACTGTCTTTCGTCTGGGACTTTCGCCTGGAGTCGCATGTTCAGATCCCTGTGAACTTTGAGTGAACTTTTAGTCACTTTAAGGGTATGTCCTCACCATCTTTCTTTTCCTAAATCTAACCACTGTAAGTTTTATGCCGGGTTCAGACTACACAACATTTTCGTCTGTTCCAACAGTCGAAAGTCAGTTTAGGCGTTTGTGGATTCATAAAGTCTTGCCGTGACTTGGCCAACAGACATGACAGACTACACGTTGGTCCATGACCAATCATCCCTGGTCAACTTTCACAATGTGCATGATGTCATTGGATTATTCTTGTCCTATTTTTATTATAATTACTATTATTTCAGTCACTGTGTCTGTTCATGCATCAGCTGAAATGTTGCTGTAGTAATTTCTAATTGCAATTGTGGCAATTAAAAGCCCTGCCACTATTTCTTAATATTATTCCTTTATAATCCCTCTCCATTATAAAGAAATAACATTCGTTGCTAGCTTGATGCTAATGGCAGGACTCACCGGGTTGCTAAAGTTTCATGCCATCATTTTTCCCCATTTTACTCTGTTGTGGTAACATCCTAAGAGGAAATATCAAAAAGGCTGGGGTGTTGTTGCCGTACAGTTGTCTACAGCAGCAGATCGCTCTGTGTTTTTATCGGTCAAAATACCGTCTGTGACGAGAGAAGTTGTACAAGACAAAAAGAAAATTAAACATGCTAGACTTTCTGTCGGGACGTCATGATCGCCTAATCTGACATAGTGACTGCTATAATCAGGCTGATATGTTGCGTGAGCCCGGCATTTTTGTCTAACCCTAATCCTGTAACTTTACATTAATTATGTAACTGTACATTATGGACGTAATGTCATTCGTGGGGCGCAAACTTGTAGGATATCATACGAACTGTTCTATGAGAATACGTTGTATCTTTTACAAGTCATCCTACATCATTTTGAGTCCTTTTGAAGGAATACAGTCATGATTTGGTCAGTGAAAGAAATATTCCCCCTTTAACATCTGCTATGAGTTCTAAACCTTTCTCAAAGGGTGCTGGGCATGTCTACAACACTCACAGATAAACACTTTGGATGACTTACACTCATTACTATACAAGATGCTTTGTCATAGATCACTTATGGATGCACGACAGAGAGAGACTGGAGACCAAAGCCCAGCTTGTTCTTCAGCTAAGTGTTCACATGATGTGTAGTCCATGTTACACAGCAAATGGGTCAACAGTGAAATAACAAAAGTCCTTAACCCATTGTAAAAATGCTCACGTTATTAAATGGAGTATACATATTGCAAGAGTCAGAATGTAACATGATATGTGTGTGTGTGCATTGATTACATAATGCTGTTGGCAAGCAATCCCTGATAAATAGGAGCTTTTGTGCATCTTGTTTGTTATTAATAGATTTATGTCCTCATTTACTTTGCACCTTGTTAAGGACTCTAAAACGACTGTCCTCACAGTGTTTGTTCTCCTCATAATGTGTTTTCTCTGCATTACATACAGTGCGCTCTGTGTACATACAGCTGGTCATCTGCTATTTGAGCAAAAGTTCCGTTGTCTGATCTGCTCAAGCTCTAAAAAGTACATTATCTTTTCTACAAAGTCTGGAACTTAAGACTTAAAATATATTTCACATGATAATACTGTATTTTATCTGGCAATTAGACAATTAGACATACATAGACTTGCATAGAACAAAAGAAAAAATATATGATCATTTTAAATACCTGGATGTGCTCTGAATTGAAAAAAAAATTAAAATAAAATTCAAACATCATTTTTCCAGCTGAGACTACATTTCATTCTGCCATCTACATCAAGTAGATAACCCTAACCCTAATACAAACACAAACAACTCTAAGTGCATTGAAAATCATTTCTCTTACCAGACCAGATCAAACTGAAGTTTATATCCAAACAATGGTGTCCGGACCTCTCAACAAGATATCTTTAAATTCATTTGTGGCCTTAAAATTCTCGTCTGAAGTTTCTACTCTGTATATAAAGAGCATCAACACAAGAGACAGGGCTGAGGGATTAGGGCAGGAGAGGATAGTGCCAGCGTCTCCCTCTCTCTCTCTCTCTCTCTCTCTCTCTCTCTCCCCCTCTTTCCCTCTCTCTGCAGCACTCCTCCCTGCTGCCACCCACCCACCACATGCACAATGGTACAGTCCACTCCTGTACTGCAGTACATGCAAGAACATGCCATTCGGCTGACTGATGGGGGGGAGAAGGGGTCGGGGTGGGGATGGTGGTGGGCGTGGAATGAAAGAGACATATGGGTTGCCCATGGGAGGGGGATGGATGGAAGGATGGATGGAGGCAGAGAGGGAGGGACAGATAGACAAGGAGGTGGAGTAGGGGAGTGACAGATGCTTGATGAGATGCTTTCTCTACAGTGATGGAAAGGTCCTGCAGCTTTACACAGATACTTTATAATATTTACCATCTGTCTGTCTGTTTCAGGTTTTGTTTTTGGATATGCATTCTTTATCTTTCCCCTTTTTTAATTTGTTAAGCGGCTACAACAAGGTGATGTCTACCATTTATTATTAAATATAAGGAAAGAAAAAAAAGGAAAGGGGAGAGAGGAAAGTCAGACATAGACAGGCTGACCCACATCCAGTGGCTGGTTTCTCCTCACAAACATATAAGTGACTGCAATGAGCCCCTAACCACAAGGGGGCCCCGTGCAGTGGTGTTTCTTTAAGGGGCATTTGTTTTTTTCTGGGAAAAGCTCTAGTCCAGTTATAGCTTAATAACATAATAAAAGCAATTTAACTTGTCACAGACAGGGGCCCCTTGTGGATGGTTTCACCAGAGACTGTATAAATAATGGACGTAGGTACCATGATGTCACCCATCTGTTTGTGGACTGCTGTTTTGAAGTCTTGAGTTCAGTATTTCAGTTGCCGCCATCTTGTTTATTTCGAGCCAAAAATGATCATATATGGATGAGAAGCTGGAGCTGTGGAGGAGCAAGGGATGGATCTGACTGAGAAGCTGAGGACGCTATCAGCAGACAGCCTGTCACTCAGAGTGGCCTGCCCTTAAATATGCGTAACTTTGGGACTAAATGACTGTTGTAATTGGCTGTAGAGACCAAAACTTTTTTGTACCAGGCTGTAAACATGTTTATTTCTGCTGTAAAGTTGTACATTTTAAGATGGGAGTCCATAGCCCCGTTTGTAACAAGCAGTCCAGCAACCCAGTGAAGAAAGACAAAGTGCTCATATGACTCTGGAGCAGAAAAATGGAAAAAGAAAAAAAATCAGAAATGAAAATACAAGCCAAAAAATGCAGGTAAGAAATGATCAACATTGACTGCAGTTAATAGAAATGAAAAAGGTTTGTTATTACTTAGCAAACATTAGAAATGCCAGCTCGCTACTTTACTTTACAATGCTGCTACAGTGCAACCCACTGTTAAGTTTAACCAATGCAGAATGGATATAATATTATTACACACGAATGTATAATGACAACTCGTTTTTTGTATTCCTAGGGTTAGGTTCAACTGTTAAGCTGCAATCTGAGAAGCCTCTATCAGTCAGTGTTGACAGCTAGGGGGGGATTTACACCTCAGCAGTTTAAGGCAGTTACTGTAATCACAGTTTGTAACATCGTAATGCTACACATTACTGTTCCTAAATTCAGTAATCACATTACAGTTACTGATCACAATTATGTTGCTACTTAGGTTTCATTAAGTTCTTTGATGATCTGCAGTTGGGAAGATAGGAAAAATGTCTAATATTATCTAATGTGCAGACAACAGTGACACCGTCTAGTATGCCTGTAGAGAGGCCCTGTATTCGAGGAATGCCATGGAATGAGGTCCTCAGTGCTCTCAGCGATCACATCCACCCAGAATTCCAGTGTTTCACTGACCTGACCAGGTGACCTTTTAGAGCGTCTTGTTAAATCAGCTATAGAGAAGGTCTATCAAGGGGAGGTCTTGCAGCTCTAATGTTGCACTCGCCATAGTGTGACTGACTTCCACACCAATCGAGTGTTGTGCTGACCTCAGCACATATTGCTAACGGCATGTGTGTAAAGCACCAAAGGCCCACCATATGGAGCACCTATTGTGTGCTCATTAGCAGCTCAAGCTGGGAGGGAAAAAGCCAAATCATGCACACATACAGAGACATATGTTGCCTGATGTTTCTAGTGTTTACTTTGCCCTCAGACAGAGAGAGGAAAATGAAGATCTCTTAAGAAAAAATTGTGTGATGTTTATTATCAGGCTCATCATTTGTCAGTATTAGTTGAAAACTAAATGTTTTTGGGGGGGGGGGGTTCAAGGTGCAATTTCATAGGGACTTGCTTAACTTCAAAACAACCTTTCTGAAGTGGCAGCACCAGCCTGAGCACACGCATTCTTATAATTAAATAACAACAAAAAAGGCATTTTTCCTACTATATACTACACTATCAGATGACTACAACTACATCACAAAACCTATGTGACCTCTGTAAGGTAAGATATGTCTCTTTATGTGACCTTAATAACAAAAGTACTTAAATACTTTTTTCTAAACCTACCCAAGGATCTTTGGTGCAACTTTGGCCATTTCCAATCTACACTAAAGACTGTGTTTTAGCAAGAAGTTTTGAAGAAGTTTCCTTTATCTAAAGAGATTGAAGCCAGCTGGACAAATCAAGAAATATCTGTGACTATTACTTTTACAATGCTATTCAGGATCTGAGTTGCCAAAATGACAATCACATGGCCTACATCAACGTTTCTGAGATCCAGATTAAGAGGAAAGAGGCTGTTGATGCCAGACATGGATAAACTAAAACTCCAGATTTTATCCCTCCAGAAGGAAAATAACATAAAGGAAATGTTGAGACCATGCCAGATACAAACACAGATGGAAATAAGAGGGCTGGTGGAAGACAATGAGAACTTCTTGCAAAGAGGTGGTTAAGATAATCAGCCAGATTGCCCCACTAACAATGTAGGAATTGGAGAGTACAGTGGATGCAGTGCTAAGAAAGGGCAGTTCATCTGATTGACCTACACAGATCATCATTCAGTTAGCCCTAATGTAGTCTCAAGTTGCCAAGCTTATTTCATCCCCTCAGCGCAGAGAAGCAGAGAAAGGTCTGTAAGCATACATTAGTATTGTACTATAGGGGGAAAATGCTCTGGCTTGTTTGTATTTCTTTAAACCAAACACAAGCACCTTGGATGGTGCTAAGCCCAGAATGCCCATTTGCATCTAATATCCTTTTCTCTTGTCTCTTTAAATGTTAGAGGCATAAGAAATGTTGTTAAATACAATGCTTTTTATCTTTTCAGTAGGAAGTAAGTGAAAAAGTCTTCTTCTGCTTCCTCCTAAGGAAACCCACTAAACTGACTCAGAGTTAAAGTTTTGAAAAACACAGTGGGTTGGAGATGGGAATCCTTGGCAGGGTTCATCACATTCGGCAGGTGTAGCAATTCTATTCCACCTCCACAGTAGTACTGCAATTGACATTGTGATTAGAAGGTCAATGGTTGTCAATGTCAATGTTCATTCATGGGATGATATTAATGTGTATGGGTACAATAACGAAACAATAAAACAAGATGTTTGCTGACATGGGTGCAATTATTGAACAGTTAAATAACAGTTTTCAGACAATGTGAATGTAGGTGGAAAGTTTAATGTGACACCCGATGACACCTAGTTTAACTGTCACCATTTCAACCTCTGGATTTCATCCTTCAAATGCAGGACTGACGGTCTCAGGATAGATTGTTTGGAGGCTGGACATTTCACCTGAAGAAATTTTTCCAACCACATATCCAGATTAGATCATTGGTTGCTAACCAGTAATTGGCCACACACAAGAGCAAATAAACACTTTCAAAATGAATATGTGCTACAATGCAGAGGTTCTAAATGAAAAAAGTAAAGAACTTTACCAACTAGACTTTCAATTTGATCAAATGTATGCTGAAAAGGCTCAATGGGCCTTTGTCCTCTCAGTGACAAAATTTAGGAGGGTGCAAAAATGTGTAATAGTTTTAAAAAAATAAATAAATTGAATATATATATATATATATATATATGTGACAATAAAACAAATGAAAACAATGTGCAGTATATGTGTAATATTTTGACATCCTAATCACTGTTATCAAGCTGCAGTTCCTTTCATTCTGAAAGTCAATGACACAAGTCGAACCTTTGACCCCGTCCACACATTCATCACCAACGTGGAGGACTCCAGCGATAAAACTTTGCAGCCCGAGGATCAGGTGGCAACATACATCGCGTTCAAGGATCCTTTTGAGGTTTTATAGTGGTGGAGGGAGCATGCTAAAATGTTTCCTAACCTGGCAGTGATTGTGTGGAATGTTTTCACCATCCCTGCATCGAGCGCAGCCAGTGAAAGAGACTTTTTCTCCACTAGATTTGTAATTCATGAATGGAGAACCCAACTTAATGCAAGTGACTGTAGCCTGCGTGTGTTTAATCAGGGGTGAAGGTCGGGTCATGGGACTTTTATCAACGGGTGCCAGCAGGTCTGGCTTTGACTTAGACATTATGATTCTGGTTCTAGTACTGAGCTTTACGGGTATGGGCGGGTGCCGGTTTTCAAAACTGGACCTGTGTAGAACTCTGGGTCAAAGACCCCAAAATATTTCAGTTATATACAACATAAATAACTTAATATTAATGATGTTGTATGAGAAAGCCAAACGCAATTGAGCTATTTTCAACCTTTAGCACAACCTTTATGATATATTTTTTTTCTCCTTTAGTTCCAAAAATTGATGACAGTCTCCCTAACTGAGGCTAACTGAACCATAAATGAGGCTGGTTAAGGTACTACTGAACTAGACAAAGGAATTAACCAAATACCAAATTGAAAATCTCCAGAGCCAGAAGGTATCACTATAGAACTCTGGCTTCTTGGATTGACAGAGAAGTATTTTTAATTTTATATTACATAAGTTACAATGTGAAGCAACAGAAAACACTGTACTTTATATGGTATGTGTCTTGGCAAGCAGGAAACCATCAAAGCCCATATTTCCC